TTACATATATTTTCGAAAAAATGTTCAGCCATTTGGGTTGTTATTGTTGTCGATAGCAATGTTGTTGTTGTTGTTGCTGTTTGCTATTGTCGCTCCCGGCGCACAACATCCAAAGCTCATTTATCACAATGATGAAGTTGCAGAAGCGTGCGCCGTGTAGCAGGATGCGAGCCTGGCGGTATGACGCCCTGTCATGCCAAGTATTCGATATTCAGGCTTTTACTTTAATCATAAACTGCTATCCATACACACACACACACACACACACACACGGAGTCTCAGTCATGCATAGATACTTGAAAAATGCAAAACATGTTGCCTTGTCAATGCTTTAGTCTTTCGCTCTTTTTATATATATATATATATTTTTTTTTCATTTGCCACGCCCCCTCAACGCTCCCCGTTGTGCACGCTGCATGCAGTTGTTAACAACTTCAATTGCGTTGATGATTTTGTTTTTAAGTGCTTGTTCCATGCACCATGTTGCCTGTCATCTTGGTTTGTCACAGTTGTCTCTCTCCCCCTCTCTGCCCACCTCTCTCTCTCTGTCACTCAAATCATCTACTCAATATATATTTTCTTCATCTTCTTCTTGTTTTTGTACATCTTTATGTCTGTCGCGAATCTGGGCGGGCTGAGTGGCATCGACATGTTTATTGTTTTGCTGCTGCAGCTCATGAGACCTGAAGTGGCTTAGGTCTTGCCTTGGCTTGTATGCATTTAGCTCAGCTCGTGGCTTTTGGCTGACTTTTAGGCTTGCTGATGCCACAGTTTATTGCAGTTTGTAGAGTCTGTTATTCACTTGTTTTTCTAGTTACCTGCAAATATAACTGTTAATAAACCAGCGCTACTCCTGCTGCTGCTGCTCATTTAATTTATTGATTAATTTCCGCACATAAATAACAGCTCAAATTTAATTTTGTCCTCTTCAATTTGACTGCACTCAAAAGTCATTTATCACCAGCAACTATTTTGTCATTTTTCTAAAAAATCGTTCAGGCGGGCGTAGCTGACTGCGTGATAGTCGTTAGTGCTAGAAAATGAGTTGAAATTAGCTCTTTGTGTGGGGCAACTGAGGAGCACAGAGTGAGGTCTTCTTTTATTCTAAAGCTGGGAAAGACTTTGTTTATAATGGCACGTCTCTGGTTGGTATTTTTATATATGTTTAATGAAGAGTTCATAGAGAGTAAGTCATGCTGTTTAGGTTTATATAATATGTACTATATATGTATAATATTCAAAGTTTCCAGCTCTAAAATTGTCAAGTGAATATTAATCTCATATGGGCCACGCTTCAGTTGTGCTTATTCTATTCTATTCACGAATATATAATAAATTAATGAATATATTTATTATACCATACATTATTAATACAGATTAGTATATATGATAATATTATTATTATATTATTATTTTGTATTATTATTATTATTAGTAATACCGATTCCCTAGCTTCAATCGTTGCTCTGGCAGGCAATAGAGTTTACTTTCATTTATGCAGTAAATTCTCTCACAACCAATACGCTCTCTTTTCACATTCAAACGCAGCTTTCTGCTCGCTTTTAAAAAAGTACAAAAAAGTGAGCGAGAAATGCCGAAAATGTCCATTAATAAACGACAATTAAAATGGGTTCAAATCACGCTTTGATGCTGCCCGCAGCTGCCAGCGCCGAGGTACGCTTCTTTTTTATTTTTTATTAATTCACAATCGTGCCGGCAGCGCAAGCTGCGTCACACACAGTTTTTTCTGCTGCTTATTTTCACAAAATTGATGACCTCATGACCTCAGCAGCACGAAAAAAAATTGTTCGGGGGGAGGTGAGGAAAATGAAAACGAAAATAATGTGCAATCGAGTGAAGGCCAGCGGCAGGGCATTGTCTGGCCATTGTTTGGCACTTGGGTTAAGATGTCTCTGAGTATTTATTTGGGCAAATTCTTTAAAGTCAACGCGTGCTTATCAACGGCTGCCCGAACGTTAGGTAGAGCGGCTCACAGTCCGCTCGTTCGCTCTTATCGTTGTTGTTGCAGCCCTAAGCCTTACAAATTCTTTATTAAGATGTTTAACCAAATGTCGGTTTTTGGTCTCTCGGCCTCCTGGTCTCCTGGTGTCTTGGTCTGCTGCCTGCAAGAGCAAAAAATTTGGGCCAAATAAACGAGCAAATATATAAAATGATTTTCATCCTTTGTGTGTATTTCGGCTAAATGGAAGAGAGAAAGAGACAGCGTGAGTGAGACAGAAATAGCTGTCAGACATACATATGTTTATATGCTCGAATCAGCGCAGGAATGGACTGAGTTGAGGCCGGTTCGGGGCTCAAACAATTTGCCCATAAGCCCCAACAGCGCACAAATATCGAAAACTAATTTCATCAAATATTTACGGCTCATAATAAATCAATTTGCACTTTGATGCCCAGTGCCAAGCGGAAGCTGCAACCGAATGACGAACCACAAATGCGCTAAGAAAAGTCACAAATTTGTGAAAACATATTAAAAAGGGAAATGGAAGTAATGAAAGTTAAAGGAGGATAGTAGATGGCAAAAGCAAATATTTAAAATATTTGGTTTGATTTATGTAAAGAAAGAAAAGTGAAACAATATTTAAAAATAAACTAATCATTTTATATAAATAATTAATTATGGGAGAAGGACAACAGCCATAGAAAAATAAAATGAAATATTAAAAAATATATATAAAAAAATAAACTATTTAATTTATATATTAAAGTTATTAGTCTAGTGTCTAGTGTTCAGAGCGAAGCTGAGCGAACGATGTCATATATTAAAAGTTTAATTTTTCGAATAGAGAATCATTTGTGATCAATCATATATGCAGTTACATATATATGTATGTGAGCCTGAATTAAAGTAAACAACAGCTGGCAAATCACAATTGATTCCTTAAGCTTATACATGCTTTCGCTTCTTCATACATACCTAAATCCAAACAATCCACATTTCTAAGCAACTCGCATTCAGTTAGAGTATTTCAGCCATGCACGCGCACGCACATAATTAAATCAAGCATACGCCGCGCGGGCCAGTGCGTTGCGTATACGCGTCGTGTGACGTCATAAAATGTGCTGCTGGTTGCTTTGGTCGCGCTTTGGGCCATAAATCAAATAGGCAAAGCCAATACAATGCGAACACCTGCAGCTGCAGCAGCAGCAACTGTTGGCTAACACAAAACAACAACAAAATATGAAAAGAAAAAAAAACAACAAGTACAACTGCAAATTTACAATTATAAATCAGTGAGTGGGCGTGGCTAAAACGCCGCTTGACCTGCGGCTATTTGCAATGCGCTGACGCACTAATTTCGCCCCTCTGGCATATTGACGGATTGATCGATATCAATAACGGCATTAAGCGTGGCAAGTATTTAAATGCATTCGACTGACAAACGCCATCAACCGAATCATTAGCATCAAAGTAAATTTACGTATATTGATATTAGCCGCGGGCCAACTAGCCAACTGGCCATAACTCAGCAATTGGCCAAACAGCTATATCTGCCTTTATATACATATATATAAATTGTAATTTGTATAAAAGGCAGTGCAAGGCGTCTTTGCCGCTGGCCAAAGTCAGTTTGAATGTGCTTTGGGCCCAATGTATGCAAAATACTTGGCCGTAATTCCTTTTGCTCGCTGCACAACTTATGCAAATGCCGGACACGGAGTTTGGGGGCGAAAGCAAAGCAGTTGCTTTTACGGCGCAATGCATATTATACAATATATATATAAAGAGAGAGAGGGAGAGAGATCTACATATATCTGTATAGAGTGCTAGTCCAATACATATCTCTGTGTGGGAACAGCTCGAAGTTTGCTCTTCTCTCATACATATAGGAAAATTGCATGTTTCACTGCAATGAAAACAAATCGCAAAATTACCATAATCAAAGCATAAAAGGGGATTTTTCTAGCTTTCTACAGATGCCACACTCTATCACTCTCTCTCTCTCTCTCTCTCTCTCTCTCTCTTTCACTCCATGTTGCATTCACAATTGTCTTGTTGTCGCTGTTAGACAAAGGGAAATTTCGTAAAGTTTCACCCAAAGTTTTCGGCACAAATATCTCTAAGTAATTGGCCTCGTTTGTCGTCTGTCTAACAACGAAAAAAAAAAAAAATGAAATAAAAAACTTGTAAATTCAATTTTGAAATCAATATACCCGATGGCATAGCAATTGATGCGAACATTTCACGAATTGTTTCCCGAAAAGTTTCTCGCGTTGCGGTTATTGGCTAACTGAATGCAATGCGTGGCAATCTATATCGAAATGTGAATAATGAATGCGCATCTCAACAGAGCACTTGGCCAGACAAATGGAGCGAGTTGTTATACTTGAGATATCTCAAAAACCATAAGAACTTTGCCAAAGTCATAATCGATATATAGTTGGAGTTAAGGAAAGATATTGCTGAGGCAGAAATAAAGATTGTTGAGCAGGGAGTGAAGCTGTGCAGGCGAAAGTTGTTTATATTTATATAGCGATAGCATCGTTTTCTCTAAATAACTGTTAGAAATAAAAAAGTCACATTCGGTGAACCGAATTTTTTCCCCTTTTATAAAACCTTCAATTTAATATATATGCCAATCAGAATTTCAATAATTAAATATATAATCATTTCAATTTTGCATTCATATAGTATACACCCAAAACGCCTGCTCTAATCTCATTTAAATTCAACAGTCATTTTAAATAACATGCAATCCACAAAGTCCACACTTAGCCAGTTTCACCACTGCTAAAAGACACAATCGTGAGTTTCACTGTTCCATTGCTAACGCTAGATGGCGCTACTTATCGTGGTGCGAATCTTCACTAAAACTAGCCAAACTGAAATTTCAATTGATTTCGTAATTTTGTTTCCCAAACTTAAATGAATACACATGTTTTGTTTTGTTGGTTGCAATTTTGCTTTAGTTTATGTGTATAAAAGTGACTACTATTAGCTAAAATTTGAGACTATAGGCGTTACAATATTTGAAAATAATAAAACAAATATCAACTGGAAGACAATAATTGACATTGATATGTTACGTGGGCGCAACTACAATTTACGACTATGGACGCAACACAGAATAGGAGGACAATTTAACAGCTAGGAACACACAGGAGACGAATCTAAGATTACATAACTAGGTACAATTATTGCTTCGCAGTTGTGGTCGCTCGTGAAATTCGATTGGGAATACGTTCTATTGCTATTTGTTTTGATTAATTTAGCTTTGGCAGGCTACCACGCCCACTTGGGCGACACCTTGTCAAAGTTCCACTCGTCGGGATGGCCCTCGTGATTGTTGCCATCGTCCACGCCGCTCATCTCCGACCATTTGAACGGACCGCTGCCAATCCTTCGCATCGCAATGGCCCTCATATCGTTCCGCACCGGCCGCCGCTCCGTGATCAGCTCCAGCTCCGCCAGAGCCGCCGCATCGTCTATGGTCACACTGAGACGCTCGTCGCCCATGGCAGCGGGCGCTGCCTGATCCGCTCGCTCCGCCTGATCAGCCGCCACCTGGACGTGGGGCTCCTCCAGCGAACGGGCGTGCGCATGCTGCAGCCTCATGAAAATGGGCCCGGCAAACGCGTGATAGTCGCTCATGCCGAGCCGCGCATTGTAGGAGAAGAGCTTGAGGTCTATGTTGCCATAGGCAATGGACTCATCTCCCAGCAGATCGCCGCGGAAGCCGTGATTGCGCAAATACTTATCGACCGCCTCCAGATTGGTCAGCTCGGCGTCCTCAGCGGCCGTCAGTGTGTGATCCTCACTGTAGTTCTCGCGCGAGCCGCCGCTGGCCTTCAGGATCTCATCGAAGTAGGGCACGCCGTTGGCCAGCCAGGTGGAGTTGCCGGCCAGCAGGAAGTGCTCCGTGACATCCTTGCTGTGCATCAGGCCCGGCAGCTGCTCCGCTATCCAGACCATATTCTTCAGCTGATCGTGGCGCTCGCTGATGGCGGCATTGTCCTTCTCATTCACGGCCACCGGCGCATCGTCGTGCTTCTCGTCCGCGTCCAGCGCATGGTACAGGTTGTCCTGGGTGCCCAGCTTGTTCAGGTCGACGGTGATCCATTGCTTGGCGCCCGTTATCGGATGCCGGGACATGGCGCGTGCCCAGGTGCGTCGGTTCTGGGCAATGCGATTTGCGGCCATGACGCGCACCACTAGTGGCACCATGTTCTCCACGTCCACCGTCTGCCACATGGTCAGATTCTCGTTCTTGATGCCGACGCCGCCCACAATGGACTGCACCTGCCGTCCCTTAACCACATAGAAGTCATCCGTGGAGCCCACGATGCCCGGATAGCCAGTGAATGTGATGTCCACCCCGGGCACCGTGTTGCTGCGCGTGTCGGGCGAGAAGTGATAGTGGAACTTGTAGCGCTTCTGGATGCGCAGCATGGACGAGTAGCTGCCCGCCGTGCTGTGGCCGAACAGCAGCTGCAGCATCTGCGGCGACTCCTCCTGGCGCAGCAGCTTCGTCAGCATCGATGCGCTGGGCAGGAAGAAGTTCTTGCTGCCCACCTCCACGGTGCCATTGCCACTGGCCAGCACATAGTTCTCGTAGTAGATCTTCAGATCCTGGATATCAGCTGCAGCATTCATCAGCAGAAAGTCGGACAACGGAATCTCCTCCTCCAGGTCAGAGCGTGCGCGCGTCGCGCCACGTATATAGCCCGTCTCCATGCCTTCCAGCTGATTGAGCACCAAATGCACCTGATGCCAGTAGTGATCGTGCTCGGCCTTGACCGCCGCCTGCTCCTTCAGATGCTCGTAGTTGCGGGTCACCAGCTCGCGCAGCCACTCGCAGAACTTTTCCGAGCTCTCATCGCGTTCGCAAGACGACGAGATTGTACTGGAGAGGAGCAAGGAGAGAGAGAGGGAGAGCCATGAGCAGCTGTAGGTGTATGATGGGATGGCTGTCACACTTACTTGATCCACTGATTGTAGATGTTCTTCCAGGTCAGCGAGCCCTCCAGTATGCCAGCAGCATAGGCCTGCACCCAGTCTGGGTAGCTGCGCTGCGTTTCCACCTCGATTTGCGCCCAACTGCAGAAGATGCATCTAATTTAGCTAACATGTGCCTGAGACTGGAAGTCCAGATCCACACTTACCCGTTCTCATAGACAGAGTCCTTGTAGCATATTCTAGCCACACCCTTGGGTATGTTGACCAGGTCGTTCTGCTGCTTCCAGTTCTCGATTTGAAAGCCCACCTTCTTCGTCCAGAAGGCGGTGGCACAGTAGGTGCCGTCGTACTCGGGCCGATCCATATAGCCGATGAAGAAGGCGCCGATCACCAGCAAGCCGGCGCCGACCAGTATATACGTCCCTATACGCGTCTTCTGCCATGATGCACCAACGACTTTTAGCATTGTGCCGTCCGTCTTGAAGCCGCTTTCGAATCACAGGTCCGGAATATCTATATATGTATGTATATATGGTTTATGCAAGCTTATTCCTGGTCAACTCTACTCTCTGGGCGAATCTGTCTGTGTGGGATTCACTCGGCTCGGCAATAGTTGAGATCGGCGCGTGCCGCGTAGGAGTGGCCCAGTTTGATGGCAATCACTTGGCCAATAGCGCCAGGATGCGAATCCTCTCTCCTGCTGCAGCTCCTGCTGCTGCTGCTGCTGCTGCTGCTGCTGCTGTTCTTCACGGTGGCCGCGCTGTCAAGCGAATCGGCCTTTTGGTTCATCGGGGTTGTCGCTGCTCTTGGGCAGTGGCTCAAACGGTAATTAAGCGAAAAGTGAATACTTCCCAAAAACGAATACTAATGCCTGATGTGTGTGGTGCAGGTGGTTGCTTATGTAAGTGGTTGCTGTTGCCTTCTTGCTGCTATGTCCAGTAGCAGCAGATGCGGTTTATGTATCTATGGAGCGTCCAAACTATTTCAATTCACTGAAGTTCAAAGTTTATCCCTAGCGAAATAGATGCGAAAAGGAAATATTAAGTCAATTTAATTGAAGTCGTTTGCAAAAGAGATCTAGCCCATATAGGCTCATATGAAAGGCATTCTCTATGACGTCGGCGCGTGTATTTAAATGAAAAGAACGCCCATTACTATTCGCTCACTCTAAATATTTATACAATGCGCATTTGCTGCTCAATAATAATAAACAATTCGCTTTTATTTCCATTCAGTTTGTAATTCGTCTCAATTCGATTTGCTGTAGTTGTTTTTGGCTCGAATCGCTAACTGTAATTCATATTCAGTCAAGAGATGCCCATCAAAATACCTCGATTTGTCCAACGGAATCTGAACTTGGCAACATTTCCGATTTCTCTCTTGGATAAACATTTTAGTAGTTGAATTTATTATATATTGTATGTATTTGTTTTATGATCCGAGTGGATCTTGATGTGGCTAACTTTTATGGCACTCACAGCTCAATAAACATTCACCCACCTGTTCCAACTGGGCGTCTACTTAATTATCTAAAGCACATGATATCATAAATTAAGTCCAGCTCAAGAGTTGCAAAAGCATTTGCCTTACTTTCTATTATATCTGTTGTGGGCAGCTCAAGGTCTTGTAAGAGCAAAATATAATCGTCTGTAATTGGAATTTTGAATCGAATTGAAATCAACTTGTGCAACTGTTTTACAAAGATAAACAAATTGCGCATACGCCCCGTTGCTCGTTCTATTTTCGACAGTTTGGGAATTGTCGGGCACGTAGAATTATTTGATATGAAAATCATGTAAGCAAATTAATTCACACGACTTTGTAGCCATTTTCCCTTGAGTGTTTGTACTAGCCTTTTTTTTTTTGTCAGCTATGAAATGCCAAATATTTTGCAGAAGTAAGCAACATTCAATCAGGAACTCAAACGAAATGGAAGCTCTATTAATAAAATGAAAATATTTGGTATTTGCATATAGATTTCATTGGCTCTAACTAGAGATTTCTCTGGGAGGTTTTTCTAGTATATCACCAAAAGGGAAATATATAGTTTATATATAAAATATCTAAATTTTCTTCTCATTTCTCAGTTCTTACTTCCTGAACATTATTTCTTGCTTACCTTTTTTGTTTCCCGGGTCCAGGAAGCTTAAATATCCCAAGTCAACCCATTTGAAGTACTGCAAAGAGAAAGACAAATGCAAATAAAGTTAATCAAATAAATCTCATGTTTAGTCTAGTCTGAGTAAATCTTAAGAGGCAGCGCCGCTAGACATGTAAATCAATATATCATCATTTTTTGAGTTTCTTTTGTCATTCCAATCAACAGAGCCAGCTTTCTGGACGTCCAGACTTTGTTTATGCAAAACGCTTATGAAAACGTTGCGCACGCGCACAAGTTCAACGATTTGTGCATATTTATTTATTTTATTTGTTTATTGAGATGATATATGAGTCGTGGCCAGTTGATTGGTGGTCCTCGGCCGCTAAGTGAGCTCGGCGACTTGGCGACACTTGAATTGGAGCACAGGCCACTTGAATTGATGTCTTGTGATGTTAAAGCTCAATTGGCTTGAATGGCAACGAATCGAACCAGCAGCAGCTGCCTGTTGAGAGTCTATTGACTGCTCCACAACTTCACCTGAATGAGCTCAAAGTTGGTAATCGCAGCGAACTTAATCAGTAATCAGATTACAATATACTACATTACTTCAACTGTAAATAAAGTCGAATGGGGCTTACAATAACAGTTAAAATCGTATTCTTAACGACTTGAACTAAATTAAGCTCTTTAATTGCTTTTGCATATGATTAATTGTATTCACTATGTCAAGTGCTGGGCAGTCCCCATTTAAATTAATTGCCCGCTTGCGCCTTACTTCGCTGAACCTGTCACGAAATTGATCAGCTGACCAGTTATTAAAATAAATATACAAATATTTTTGAACAAGTTATGGCTTACTGGATCTGGACAATTCATTACGCTTAAAGTCATTACGAACGATGATTACTGCATACATTTAAGGTATTTATAACTGTTTTTATGCGACTTTCCCTGAATCATACTGTGCACTGTAGCTCGCATCGATTGTTTGCTTTTTGCATTTAGCCGATATGAAATTCATTTAATTTTCGTTTCACTTGTGAAAATAAACAAGTGAAAAGCAGCTGCAGCCAGTGGAAAACCATGCAATGTCTATGCCGGTTCGATAAAGTTGTTTTTGAACGCTGTCTATAAACATCAATGTTTCGAATACCCTGACTAAATAAAATGAGTGAATAGGGTATAGTGAGCTTTTAATTCCTCTTTACGAGCACTCATTTTAGTTCTGTAATATCGATAAATATCGATAGTTTTCCTTGTTTGAGCATCGTTCCAGATTCAATTTAAGATTGAGCTCCTGCCCAGTCATTGCCTAGTCGGGCATACCCGCCAATAGCACTCTTACTTGTTTTTATATATTTCTCTGACCAAATTGATTTGCATTGTAAACGAAAGATAAAGTGAATAGCGTCAAGGCCAGAAGAATCTGTCAATCATGCAGCTGCTCACGCGCTGCCAATTGCACGTTGAACTAGACAAAGTTCTAGCCAAGTATAAACCCTCCAATGACGTCAATGGCATGTGAGCTAAGGTAGCCTTCTAATGTCTATAAGCTTAGCCAAATGTTTGACGTCTATTTTGCGTATTATTTCCAAGAAAGCTAACTGAACTTAATTAAGTTTTATTATCGTTATCATCTCTTGTTTGTGCAGCACACAAAGTTGCTCTCGTTTTTTCTTTTTTTACTGTATCATTTTTGCTTAGATGTGAACAGCCTACATGGCTGATTTATAGAGTTCAATGTGCGCAATGCAGCAACTAGATATTATGTGGATATTATCTAGATATAAATAGATATAGGTATTATCATGTAATATGCCCTGGCAACTGCATCGCATTTTCGTTCTTTCCAGCGATTTGTCAGCCCAATCAATCAACTAAGTCGACTGTAAATAATTGACTTAGTCGATAGCAAAGTACTCCAAATATGTCCAGATAGAAGCTACGCTGTTTCCCGAACTGAAACTGAAATTCTATAAACATATATATTGAAACATTGATAAGATTACATACACATGCTGTGCAAATATTTAGATATGCTCTTGTCAGTCTAGACAGTCTTGAATCAACTGACAGAGGCGAACATTCCATTCGGGGCGGTTTAATAAATGTTTACCTAGAACTTTCCTCCCATAGGCAATATCAGAGTCTATGATTTATGGGCCTATTCAAAAATTTGAGCTTTTGTGCTAACTGTACCTATTAGTAGAGCACTCTCATAATTCACTGTTATGCTAAATGGTTCTATCCACAAATCGAGCTCGATATGCTCGCCTTTTGATAAACAATAATAGCAATAAATTAATTACGTATACAGATCTGAAATAAAGGAAAACATATATGCAAATAATCATAAAATTTTTCAAATTTTCCTACCAATAAAAATCATGTACCAACAAATAATTTTTAACTAATTACTGTACTTAAAAAAAAAAGCGAACAGCAGCCCACTTATTTAGCTATGTAAATAAAAACAAATGAATTCCAATTTTTAAATGGGCAAGCATTTCAAGGCAGTTCATGTATCTAAAACGTGATGGAAACGTCAGGCAGGCAGCAGATCATCTGCTAACGCGTCTCATAAATAATTCAACATCGGCCATTCACTTAGCAACAGTTCCAGCTCTCAGTGTATTTGAGGCAACCTGTCGCTGATGTGGGAACCTCTGAGTATGCTGAATGAAAAGAGCTAAGCGAGCATAAATATGCAAACCCATGCGAAATATTGTAATCCAGACATCGCTTCATATCGGTCAATCAATTGCGTTCGGCCACTCCATGCAATGCAATGGGGGAAAAGTCCGCTGAGCTGGGCCGCTGCCACGCGCCGTCCGTTAATAAACTCAACGAAATTGTAAACTTACAGCAGACAGCTAAGCTGGCAGAAAAAAAAGGAATAACGGGTAGATTTTGGGTGAACGACTAGGTAGGTACCCTAACCTGTCTCAGAATGTGAACTATATAGGAGTCCTGTTTATATTGATAGAACTAGAGTTAGGCAATTTATATATGTATGTATCTTGTTGGTCTAGATCTTGAAACGTTCCATATATACTCAAGTAAGTTAAATTTAATAATATTAGAATAAGAATGAAAGAGAATCGGAAAGACAAGCAGACAAGTACAGACCTCTTTTTACCTTTCACTTATTAATCCTAATAAATATTAAATATTTCTAATAGCATCCATCACATCTCCCATCTGCCTTGCTACAAACCTATGATCATTGACAGCATACTCTCATTCAGACATTCGCACCAGGCTTAGGGTATCAGACGTGTAATCAAAAACTGCTACTGCAAATACAATTTGAGCGAGAATTGCAAAGGCAACTGATTACTGTCTCAACTTATATCAGAATTGTGGACATTATTGTTTAGAAAAAAGTCCAGACGTCTCGACGACTGCTGTGTTGGCACACGTGGCAAAAGCGTTATTCAACACTGGCAATATCACTGATTTCCCAGCTATTTGGCAAGCATTTGAAGATCGCATGCGCTGACAGCTTTAGTCGCGTGATTAACAAGTTATACTCTATACGTATGCGGTGTGATTGAAGCACGCAATTAACAGATCTCGACTGAGATACTATTGATGATGAAATGCTAATCAGCTTGAGTATAAGCAAGAGGTTCATCAAAGTACAATCGACTTTGACTTTGTTGAAGGAAAGATTTTGTATATAGATAAAATTAGATTAACAATTTTAATGCATGAATATTCAATAGTTCTCTTGACAAATATAAAATTTAAATTGTTTTCTTTGCAACTAGGCAAAGCTGTTTTCGCTAATAATATTTCTATTCATTTCACTAGAAAATAAATATGGAAAAATATTAGGTTAAATATTTCCTTATGGCACGAAACAACTGTGTTCAGTGCGTATTAAATATATATAAAATTTCTGAAAAACCCAGAAAAATTCTTCTTGATGAGCCATCGCAGTTCATTTACCTTTATCAGATAAACTCAGCTGTTGTCCACACACCAACAAATATTTATCAATTTCCCAAATTATTATAATTAATTTAAAAATATATATTTTTATGGTTCTCCCAACGTAAATAGATCGCAAGAACCGGAAAAATCCGAATATGTAAAATGATTATATATTTTGTATGTAATCGCGCTTCTTAGAAGATAATTACGACGTCAATGCGCAAGAAAATGTTTGTGAAAATGAATTTTCGCGCGATCTCAACCGATTGCCTTGACGCTCCCACCAAAACTGACAGCGTTCGAAATTTTTTGGCGAGCGAAACGAGCGGAAAATCCGACAAACGATTCGAATTGAAATTGTGCAGAGCAACATTGTTCTATTGAACTTGGCCGCTTCTGTCTACGGCCCTCGAGCGAGTGATCCAACCCGTACAGCCTGTCAGATGGTGCGCCATAGCCAACCTTTGAGCACGTGGCAGGTGTTGCTATCTCCAGCCATGAGCTAATGCACTCTCGACATATCATCAAAGCGTACTAATATGACGAGCTATGCATTTATCACTGGCGACTTGCATCGAGGCTAACCAGCGCACGTGACCATCTGCCAACTGTCGAGAATTCACATTTTTATGCCACAGCGCTTTTTTAATGGAGCATTCAGCTAAATACCCTGTACAGCAGAAGCAAGCAAGAGTATCTTAGCTGAGAGCAGTCATTATGTTTGATAAACAGCAGGAAATGGGAGATCAATTTAAAAGATCTTTGTGATAGATTAGCTATAGATGATCTGCAGACCTAACACTCATAGAATTTGTTTTGATCAATACTTAATGAAGAGACTATAATGCAGTTAACAAATAGCTGTACGCTTTTCTGCAATGAAAAGGGAATGTAGATCATACTGTAGATCATACTATGAACATTCCGGTAGATAATTCTTAAATTAAACATATGTATATGAGCTCTGCCACAATAAGGTGAAAAATATATCTAAGAAGACTTCAACATCTTTTCAATATCTATTTCGTTCAGATCGTTGCACAGATATACCTTTTATTCAGTATTATGTGTATGTTATTAAAATAATTCAAACTCAGCTTAAACTACATGTAAATAGTTTATATGACATATTATTAATATTATATATGATGCTGCTTCTCAGGTTTGATCTACAGCTCATTCAATTGATCTACAGCATAAGCTTTTCAATAAGAATTCTAAGACACGAGCTAATGGTTTATTAGTTATACTCTGTATAATATTTATTCTTAAAGCCCAAAAGTTAACTAAATCATACCATTATAAACTTAAAAACACAACTTAATTGAGCTAACAATTAAAGTTATATTTAAACATCAGTTTGAGTCTATAATTTGCAACCGGTTCGCCATTAAGACGCTAACAAATCAGTCTAAGCGTTAGGGCATATGGCTAAAAGCAGTTGCCGGAACCCATAATAGAACAGTCGAAGCTGTTAATGATGATTTTTAGTGAATCGTTTGCATTTCGCGATTCAATTAGATTTCATTATGCACAGCGTCATTTAGCATCAGCCCCATACACCATATATGCCTGTAAATCGGCCGACAATTGACTTTGAATTGAATCGAGTCTAGAGCGTTCCGCATAGTTGGAAATTGGCATTCAGTTGAATGCGCAGTTAAAGCAAAGGAAAATTATTTGTTACGTATCGGTTTTCCCAGCAAAACTTTCTTCCATCTACAATAAATTGTGTATGACATTTTTTTTAGGGTCAATCATGAGACATTTTAATTGACGTGAAATTTTCTCTTGAGGGCCTTGTCTGGCTGCCAGCTTCAATTAACAACTAATTAAAGGCGGCTTGTTGATGAATGCTCCAGGCATTTACATAACTCTAAATGAAATGTGTGCAACAATGAATGATCATATGATATGTGTGTGTATACTATATGATATACATACATACATAAATTATTGTATCTCTCTTACGGAGTCTTAACAGCTAAATTGGCTGCTCTAACCCTTAAGCCCTGCTCTCGACTCTTAAGTGAGTCTCAACTGCAGTTCATCTCATGCTGAGGGACAAGAACCTCAAGGATTTTGACCTCATTTTTTGTCTGCGTGTCTGTAAGACACAATAGCTGCCCCCAATGATCAAGCTGTCTGTGCGTCCGTCTGTTTGTCTCTCCGCCTGCGCTTGTCTGCCTAAGCCGCCTGGCAACTTCTTTGAAAAGACCTGCCCGAGTGCGCATGTGATAGAAGCTGTTGTCATGCCATTGGCTCTCTCTCCCCCACAGCGGCGCTCGCTCTTGTCGTAGTCCTCTTTCTCACTCTAGTTCGCTCTTGTTGTCGCACCTCTGTCTCTCTCCTTGCCCTGCTACTCCTGGCTTTAGCTCACGGCTTGCCTTTGTAGTAGCTCTTTATAATTGTCTTTTATTTATTTTTCCTTGATCACAGACAATTCTACAACAACAGCAGCAACCGCATCTTGAGATCCACGTCTCTTAAGATCTATAGTTAACCGACTTGAACCTCTGTTGCCAGGCAGCCTTAGGTATCCACGCAAACTTGTTCGTATTCGAGGTAATTTGAGACGATTCATTGTTGGTTTTTTCGCTTTATATTCTAGGTCATTGGCTTTAACTTTTACTTTTGCTGAATACCAATAATCTTATGCCAATATCTTTTAATTAATATTCTGTTGCTTTACCCAAACTGAACTGCCATAATGAAACACTTTTCTATAATTTTCACAGCATTTGTACTCGAGCTATACTTCGCAGCTTCGTTGTGGAATCTAAACTAAATTTACGTCTTACGAGATTTTGTTTTCCGTCAAGCAGGTGCTCTGTAAGAATCTTATCTACTCAAAGCATCACTTATCTACTCAAACAGCATCATCATCAACAACAACAACAACAACAACAGCAACAGGAGTAGCAAACAGCTGTCTGCGTAAATACTTCATTTATTTTGGGATGCTTTTGTGGAGCTGCCGCTTTGTATACATATTTGCAATGATAAGCGCCGCGCCGCTTCAGGCTGCACTGCGATCTGTCTCCCTGTCTGTCGCTCTGTCACGCTCCCTCTTATATGACACGCTCATGTGACCCTATTCACCTGTCTCAGTCTGTTAACACGTTAAATAACGCCTGGAGGTCTATCGATGACGCATTCAGTGTGCATTTGTTCGTTTTTTTACCATACTTCCGGCTGCGAATTCCAATTCAAATTGGATTCTAGCACACGGCAATTAGGCCTTCAGTTAATTGCACTTGACTCACTTCGAGTTGCCGTGTTGGCCTATCAGTGTAGACTTAAATTTAGCAAACAAATAATATATATATAATCGAAGTAGCTTTCCCGATCGGCAGAGATAAGCTAGAAGGCTTGCAACGTAGAGCAGTAGAAAAGAGTGGAATGTTCTCAACAAAGTTTAGATAACGCTGAGCGGGATGAAACTGCGCTGAGTTCTAAAGAATATTATAAATTATGTGAGGAAGAGCCCTAAATGTACTCTTGATAATCTCTAGATTAGTTAAGGTGTGAGAATGGGCTCGATGTTGTTTCTTGATTAACCTTAATAGAGCTGTAGATCAGGCCTAGATTATGTTCAGTTTAAGTATAGATAAGAACAAAATAAGATCTTTATACTAACTCTAGATTTAATAATAAGCTCTACATTTATAGAGGACATATCTTTTTATATAAAAGCATTACTCCATACTTAGACGGGCCCCTATAAAACAGATTAGCCTCATCTGTTATTTGATTTAAAAACACGCCAATGTAGTTTTTCCAATCCGCCGTTATCTCAACATTGTCGATTCATTGGACTAGACTACAAATTCAGTAGAAAATCCCATTGAGCTCGAGCTGCAGGTCACACTCGCCGAGCAACCCCCAAAAACTGTTTAGTCATGTCTGCTGTTGCGCTTTAGTAAAAAAAAGTGAAAACCCCTGATCTGTAATCTCATCCCGTTGAATATGCGCATTTGCATTTCCCGTCGGACAAAAACGTTTAAAAATACACAACGAATAAAAGTATATATACATAAAAGAATTAAGTGCGAATTATTTATGAAAATATTGACCTGATTCCAGATAGCCTAGTTATATAGTAATGGAATGAGTCGGCGTTTACCCACGTTTCCTACTCGCCAGGCTTGCAATATTTGTTTAAGTGCACGAGCGCGCGTGTTGACAAGCCCCTGAAACACTTTGAGAACGTATACTAAGTTGCTTCTAGATACTACCCATAGTTATGTCAGCAGCTGATCGAAATATGCTATGATCTACTCACCGGAAAATTTGATTGGTGGCTGACTCACGCAAAGTCTGCGCTGTTAATTGTTTGGTATTGTTTGACTGATGGTATTTATGTGAATTATATTTTGTCTATTTTTCGATTTTTTAAGATCTGACACCTTTATAGATATAGTTTTAACACGAAACAGCTATATAGTCACACAACGAGCTCGTGTTAATTAACCATGAAGGGCTACATTGGAAACGCACTGGGAGATTTTGCTTATTGCTTTTCACTTTCAACTCACTTGACAAATTTTCCGCGATGCTCGTGGAAATTATTTGTACTATAGTATATATAAAGAAAGTATGTAAAGACTTTTGATAGTTGTGAAAATATTCGATTGTTGCTATGCGAGGCAACTAACTAATTATAAGCTGTGCACTGTGTTGGTATGTATTGCACATAAAATATATATGTATCACCCGTATGTATTTGTAGAGCACGAGAACGTGGCGTTTCTCTTTTATTTATATTTTCTTTAAATCAACTCTGTAGCTCTTAAGACTGCAACACTTTTGGTTAAATGCATTAACTTTTAGTTGAACAACAATTGCACATCAATGTGAAATCGACAAACAATGAACACGATTTACAGTTTACGAATAATAAAAGAAAAACTCTGCGATATTTTTGCCTTGGACGACAATATCACGTCCGACGATCACCTTTAACGAATATCAACTGAGTACTGAGCAACTGAGTCCGGCACAGCGCCAACCTAACCCAACCAAAGCAAACCAACCACCAGATCTCTCAAACGAGATATCTCACTGGCTCGGCGAGAGCCGATCCGCTCAATTACACTCGACTACATGACTGAAGTTTAATTGTTGCTGGCGGAATAGTTGACAAAAATAGAGGAAAATATTATAGTTCTTGTGATACAAGCATCCAAACTTTGTATGCAAATGTATAATAAAATACCTCACTTATTGAGCAGAAAGCTTAATAAATTAATATTTTTTTTTATGCCAGATTTAGTGGACAAGTTATCATGCTTATTTCAAACATATATTTAAGTTTTTAATTCAACTTTATTATGCTCTGTAGTGTAATCGTACTCTTGACACGCTCAATTTGCTTCCCACTGAGCAATGTATACGTCGCTCCAGTTCTGTAGCGTTATAGGCGAAAAAGAAAGAGAGGGAGAGAAAGAGAGAGAGCGGAGTCATTGGACGATCATTGGACATAGCAACAGAGAGCTGCTCTCCCAGTCTTACAATTTCACAGTTTCCAATCAATTGAGTGTGTATGCTGAACTGTTAATCGTGACGTCACGTCACAAACTGATAACACACTGAACACTGACTGAAACGGAGCTAGTGAGAGGGAACGAATTGAGTGGAACATGCAGCCATATGGATACGCCCATTTGATTTTGACAGCAGCAAATACAAATTATATGTCCCCCAATCCCCGACATGTGCAAATAAAACGCGCCACGATAATTGGCTTTGGGGAGTACAAAAGATAAAGTTAGTTTGTAATTTATAATACAATATAATGCCGGAAAAGTACAGTTGGATGTTATCAGCTAGGCGCAGGTAGCAGCGTGCTCATTTACCTGCATTGCGAAACACAAACAGCTACGATGAGCCATTCACTACGGAAATAGAATAAAGATTCATGAAGTTATATCAACGGAAGTTGTATAACCGTAACACAGTATATAATCACTTATCTCTTTACACTTTTTTCCGCAGCGTTTTATAAATAAAAGATAATTACATGTGGAAATTATGACAGCGAGTCCGCCATAAATTAAGATTTGTAATTATTTATTTATTTTTTGTGTTTTGCATTTTTTAATTGTGAATTAAATTTTGTGCAAACTTCCTTAATATACATTTTGAAAATAAACCCTTAAAAATATACGAAAACTCGTTCCAGTATCTCAAATTACCAAATAAGCAAACGGTGTTCAACTGGTTCCATAGTGTAGCGGTTATCACGTCTGCTTTACACGCAGAAGGTCTCCGGTTCGATCCCGGATGGAACCATGTGGCTAAACTTCTTTTTAGAATTTATTTTTATTGTTTTTATTTTATTTTTTTTTATTTTTAGGAAACTTTCCATAGATTATCTTGTATATTTAAAAAATATATTCATAGATACGAATATTGTAATAAAAAGTTCTTTAATTGAATTGTATGCTACATATATATGTAGGTGTTAATTTTTTTTGCTTTCCTAATTTTTAGGCACCTAAATTTTTCATTTAAACTAAATGGAATTAAAAAAAAAACCAATGGTTCCATCCGGGATCGAACCGGAGACCTTCTGCGTGTAAAGCAGACGTGATAACCGCTACACTATGGAACCAGCTGACATGTGACGAGCCAAATTTCAGTTTTCTTCCACAATTCGCAAACAAAAGTTACAGCACACTTTTCAGCACGTCCACAATATTTATTTATTAAAATAAATGAGTAAAAAACATTTCTTAATAAAGTATTTGAGTACTAAATGAATTTATTTTAAAAGCCAAAAGCACACATTTTATCTTATGCAATCTGCGACTATTTATAAAAGTGTTATTGCTAAGTGAGATACAATAAATTAAAAATACATACAAATTAAACATATTGCACCATTGTTCAACTTAAAATATATGAATAGTAACTATTGCAGACACCTATTAAGAAATAAATTAACAAAAAATTATATAATACAGTTGAGAGCCGGTAATCGCTGAGCAAAGAACTTCAAAGCGTAAAAAAGCAATAGCAGAAACAAAAGAAACCAAAACTGTGCACGAAATCCGAACAGATAATGGACACGCGGGAGCTGGTCCTGCATCTGGACTAGAGACTCATGGCTTCAATAGCGACGCGCCGTTGTGGGACGCGGCACACCCGAGGTGCGTGGACGTGCCGACTTGGCGCCCATAGAATTGGACACACCATCCGTATTATAGCTGAGATAGACGTGAGAGAGATCAACATATTCGGGCTCCTTGCCGGTGTTCTTGTGCTCGATGTGCTTACGCATGTTGTTCCCAGTGTAAGCGACGCACTTCAACTGCCACTCGCCAATGTCCTCGTTCCAGTGCGTATACTGATTTATCATGGACTGGTATTCCTTGGGCACATACGAGTTAAGCACTAGCTCACAAAGCGCCAGCTCCCGAGAGAGGCTGCGTATGTTCTCATAGATTCCTTCCTTTTCGCGCTGATGCTCCTGCTGCTGATCAGCCAGCTCCGACTTAACGCCCATCAACATTTGCATGACCCGATGAATCTTCTTGGTGATCCCAGTGCTGGCTTCCTGCAGCGATGAGTAGCGTTCCTCGATGTCAATGCGCTCGGTGGCCTTCTGCTCAAGTGTTTGCCGTAATGCTTGCTCAGATTTCTCGCGCTCTTCTAGTTCCGCTATGGACTGCTCCAGCAGCTTCTCTTGAGTTTGAGCTTTCTCTAGGAGATTCTCGCCACCCACCAGAATTTTACCTTCCAGCGAGACGAGCTTGTTGCGCAACAGCTCCTGTTCCGTCTTGGCATGTTCGATTTCACGCAAATGCTGGCTCTTGCGCATGGCCAGCTCTTCCTTCTCCTCATCTGTCTTTTCGCGCTTCTTTCGTATCTTCTTGCCAGTGGAACTGGTTGCGGCCGAAGCCGCAGACTCCAGTTCAATCTCTAAAGGCGCCTCAAGCTCATCGTCACAGGTATCCTCCTCGTCCTCGCCCTCGCCGCTGGGCAGCAGTTCGTCCTCGAAGTTACCCTCCTCGAGCTGCTTGCGCAGTCGTGCAATTTCCTCCTGGAAGTGCCGCAGCAACGCATCCTTCGGCTCCTCATTGATGTGCATGCGATTCTGTATGTTCTTGGCCCGACTCGCATAGCGAAGCGTGGAAATTGTTTCCACATAATTGCAATCCGCTGGGCTAATCGTGGCGCACATCACTGTCTTCGAGTTGCCACCAAGTGAATCCTGAAGCAGCCGAGTCAATTTCGAGTTGCGATAGGGAATATGCGTACTTTTGCCATCGACCAACGCGCTGATCACATTGCCCAGCACCGAGAGTGACAGATTGATCTTGGTGGCCTCCTTCAGCCGCTGGCCACTCGCCTGCGTCTTTGACTGACGCTCGGAGCCAGCCAAGTCTACCAGCTGCAACTTGCCCATTCGAACATGCTGCATGCCTCCTTCGACCAGTTCGCTGCTCTCCACGGTGATGGAGAAGATAGCGTGCGAGCGCGAAGACTCCTGATTCATCTTTGTCGCGCCGACAGCGCGATTCTTGTTGCCCAGTCGCATAATGTTCTCCAGATCATCCGCATTATGCACCACATAACCACTGAGATCTTTGACGAAGACGCCAATGTCCGGACGCTCCTTAACTTCGAGGCTCTTGCTCACATCTTTGCCGAGCAGATCGCGCACCTCCTCGTTGTAGATCTCCATGTAGCTGACGCGCACCAGAAACTTTTGATTATCCTGAGCCTTGGCAATATGCCCAAAGATGTGGGCGAATGCATTTGGAATGATGCCCTTGGTCTGTGGCGAGTCCGGATTACCGGACATGGTGTATGTCTTTCCAGTGCCCGTCTGTCCATAAGCCAAGATGGTGCCATTGTAGCCCTCCAGCACCTTGTCGACAATCGGACGAGCCGTATCCACATACAAATCCAGCTGATTGGAGTTACCATCGAAGACATTGTCAAAGTAATATGTTTTCGGTGGCTCGTTGGCTGTGGCGTTCGGCTTGATAACGGTTATTGCACGATTGATATTATCAACCTGGATGGCGCTCACCGCACCCGAGGCGAGCTCATTCTTGTCCATCGGCCTGGATCGAACAACAACGCGAACATTTTCGATTTCGTCATCGAGCTGGTGCGACGTAGTCGCCGTTGGCTCTTCTTGCGGCATTTTTTATACTTTTGCTCAACGGCTAACAACAATTCAAAATGTTCGGCTGACTGCTCGCTTATGGGAAATCAATGAAAAGCGTTTTTCTTCACATTTGTTTATGCACCGTTGCTATGAGTTGCCTGCAAATAATAATTGCAAAATTTAGACAGTGTGGCCGCAGTTTGTGAGGCTGTGTGTGGGGGCGTTCAACCTGTAATAGCAGATGAGGAGTAAATGCTGTTAAACATAGTTCATGTTAGCAATGTAAACATGTATGTTAAATATATCATATGTTTCTTGGGGAAAAAGTTCGTTATGTTAATACTAGTAGTTGCTGTCATGTGACGAGCAGTCATAGCGTACACTTTCTGTTAAATACCAGCGAATACACTCACTAACCAGAGAACACATAGACCGGACACGTAGTGTAAAGTGTTTTGCACACTTTTTTTT